TAATTTATGCACACGTATATTATTTACTAGGCTGCCGAATTTATGTCACGTGTCGTCGTTACAGAATATACTAAAACATTGAGCGGTAATTACAGTTAAGTGAACGCGAAGTAGGATTACAATGAGCGTCGCCACATGGTGAGCTGCGTTTAAATATGCATGCAGCAGGATGCATCGCAGGCAAGAGTGCTGCCGCTTATTGCTATACCGAAAATTTTTTTGTGCCATTAGAAAACGAAGCTTCTAGAAGTTTCGTAGGCGTTCTTCATTTGTGTGATCTTATAGTATATTAGATTTCACGTCGTAAAACTTGCTCGGGTTTGTCGCGTTGTGTTTATAAACATTCGCTCGAGTGCGCATCCTGGTCCGAGCGCGGCTGCCGTACGCCGTACAGCGCGTCTGACCTACTTTGTCTAAAATTCGTGGAAACTGCATCAATTTTGAACAATGTGCAATAATGTTTCCGTGAAAAGTCAATCGATTTATACCGAAAATTTATTAAAAATATATATTAATTTATTTTTAATATACTGTAATATTAATATAGCCTTAATGTATAAGTGCATAAGGCACAAGAAGATTATTCACAACAAATTGAAAAAGATGTTTCTAAATTCTCAATCTAAAAGACTTCTTGATATATTGTTTTATTTTTTAATTGTTATGATTTTTATTTCTCTATGATATTTTATTATATAATTTATAATAAATGATTATTGTCATCTATTTTTGTGACAACAGATTGTTGTAATTTAAAATTCAAATATATTTTGTTTCAGTTTTTGATTTATGCATTCTTATATTTATATTCTAGAATATTTTACTTTAAAATAAAAATTCTGGACTTATATTACAATACAAAATATAATATATTTTTCTGTAAATGAATCCATATAATAGGCATTAGTATTGTAGTTGTAATATTCATACAATAATTAATTTTAAACTAGACTAAATCAAATGAAATCGAATAATTCAATGATGGTTTTGATTAGTTAGGTATTTCAAATCTCTTTTCTAGATTAAATAAACTTTATAGGTAAAAGCCTAAAAGCATTTATACACGGATTTGTGACCTAATTTTCAATTGGTATATTATATTTATACATAATTTTATTATATATTTATTGTCTGTCAGTATTTATGTTGCTGTAAAATTATAATATAATTTTTGTCGGTATCTTATATCCCCTTTATTTCAGTTTTAATTTAGCTATAATCAAATAAATATAGTTGGAAAATGATTTGTTGGCTCGCACTGCCAATGTTCGATAGTTCAATTGAATTTATCGCCCGCCTTAAGTAAGGATGCATAGGTAAGGACTTAAGTGGAAGGGCTGTAGAGATGTACAGTGTATGCAGACTTCGTTAAATGTTGTTTATTATGGTTTATTGACAATTACATTATTGATGAGTTGAATTCAGTTCTCATAGGAGAGTGTGAACTATAATCAGTCACAACGATGTATTGGCTTTCTTGGTGATGGTGACGATCTTGTTCCTGATGGTGTAAGGATCAGCAATGGATTGTGCATACTCCTTGGTAGGGAGTATGGCTTGTTTGTGTGATCTGTGTGAATGTTGTAAGGATTAGCAAAAGAGCTGTGAATACTCAAATGAGGGGAGTATGACTTGATTATGCAATAGTTACCCTCAATACAAACTACTGTTATACCTAAACGACTGGTAATTCAATCAGCACCCTTGACTTCTTATTAACTGTTGAGCAGCAATTGAACGTGTGTTCCTTGTAATGGTTTGACTGAGAGAGCGTGACTGAGTGCCGAGCTCATGGCTGTAGACTCTAGTTAAATAGAGCATATCTCGTGGTGTGCTTGCATTAAATATCTACGCGGCAGCTTAGATAACTGGCAACAATGGGTAGGTGTTGCTATGCGGAGACTAGGTAAACTTGCAGGACGTTCGAAAATCAAGCTTTAGAAGAATCGAGAATTTCGGGAATCAAATGTTTACAAAAAACCAGAACTATTTAGAAGGCTTATAAATTTCCGAGATCCAAAGGTCTTGGAAAATGCTCCAATTCCGAACAAATACTATAAAATGAAATACTACAAAATATAATATAGTAAGACGTAAATGGTACGATAAAAAATATTATAATATATAATTATCTAAGCGATAGTATATATAACAAAATAAAGGACTATGTAATAAAAATTAACGAATTTACAATAAATTTATATTTAAAAACAAATATATTATTTAAAAGCTAGATGCACTATTAAATTCAATTTAAAGATTAGTAATACGCTCAAAACTATGGTATATCTAGATTAATGTCGTAATGTTCTTGATGAAATATGATAACTATGAACGATATTGCTATAAAATTTGTTGCACAAAGAAAAAAAAACAATAAATACTAATCATTTGAGTAACTTCCGCCTTTATGTATACTAATAATTGATTGATATACGTAACTCCAGAAATTAAAATTCATCGGAGTCGATCTTTGCTGCTTTCTCTTCTAATTACAACATCCTTAAAATAATTCATAGTAGATTGTAGTGTATTTTCAATTTCCGATAATTTTAAATGTACTGATTTAAAGTATTCCTTTAAGAATTTTAAGCAAATTATTTCGTAGATCATTAGTGAATACTATTAATTCATCATACATTTTACGATTCGATTATTTGCAACATATTATTTGTTTATAAAAATTGTTAAAAGTTTTTTTTCAATCATATTTCTATATTTCTGTAACTTCAGAAATAAGAATTCTTAAATTGTAACGATTTACTTATTTATTTATCATTTTTACTAAATTTTCTAAACATAATTATTCACATTTATTTATTAAAAAATTTTTCATTTAAATTACTTTAATACGGATTTTTTTAAATTAAATACAACATTAATTATCCCATTTTTAATTAAATAACAAATAAAAATATAGTTTTTACAACTAATTACAATCTAATTTAAAAAAGCGTACAAATTAAATATTAATAATTAACTAGTAGAATAATATATTAATTTACTTAATTAAAATGATTAATTATATACATAAAACCTTTATAATTGCTTTATATTATAAAATTTTTATTTTTGTTATTTACAATATTATTATAAGAGATAAAATATTTCGTTTTTTGAACAAAAATTAACATATATGTACAACACATCAACTTCTCAATTTATTGATTAGAAAAAATTCAGACTATTTATAAATTATTTGATTATTTCACTGAATATAAGGAATTAACAATAATATTTATATAAAATTTTTTTATTAAAAATACTAATCTAAGTTATAAACAAAAAAAATAATGTTCAATTAGTATACACGTGCAGTGAAATTATTTTTTAAAAATACAATGTATTTTAAAAAATTGTTCTTAATAACGAAATATGCAAAAAATTATTATAATACAATCTAAGAAACTTTAGTTTTAAGAATGACAATAAATAAATAACTTTTAATCTAATTAAATGTTAAATATTCGATTTTATAAAAATATTAAATATTTATATATATATATATATATGTATAAATATGATAAGGTATGGGTAAATATAAAAATAAGGTATTTACAATGTTTACTTTCGTATATAACATTTCTGTAATTAATTGAATCAAAAGCTATAAATTAATGTGTTTTAATAAAAATAACTTTTAAACACATTAAATTTAGTTGAAAAAATAATCACTTTATAATATCTTAATTTTTTAAAGTTCAAATATACTTTGCAATAATATCATTAAAGTATTAATAAATATAATTATCTTATAACGAACAAAAATAAGTTTATCCTTACGTCATTTTTGTCGTTTATAATACATGTAAATACAAGCATTACGTAATTACAAATACAAGATATGAAATAAGTATTAAACAATAAAAAATATATAAATAGATCGATTCAATAGGTAACTATTTAAATAATATAATAAAATATATAAATAAAATAATATAAATTATTTTAAGTTTGTTCTGGCCAATGCATATTATAATTTATGTAATTATTAAAATTTGTCTTGTATTCAATTAAAAATATTTTTGAGTAATATTTCAGAGGTGAAAGGATATTTATTAATTTCATAAATAAGAAATATTTAAAAAATCTTTTTGAGAAAATATTATGTATCATCAAATGTTGTATATAATCAAATTAATGCTTATTAAAATATCCAGTAGAATTTTGCATTCAAAATTCGCGCGATTGATCTAAAATTTTCGTTTCTTAGAAATGTGACAAGAGTGTATTATTTACTTTTGTTTGCTTTATGTTAGTTTTTCTTTTAAGTTAACTTTAGTTCAATTTATTAACTTTTTTAGATTTCATGTTATAGATTCGAAAATAGTTATTTCAAACAATGTTTGAAAACAGTGACTGGAATATTGACGAGGTAAATATTTAATTTGAAAGTATTTATTATATAAGAAGTACATTATTTATTTCTGATTTAGAATTATTTGCAAGATTTTAATGAAGATGTATGTAAAACATTTCAAGATAAAAAAGAAAAAACAGAAATATTCAAACGTGGTTTAATAAATACAAAATTAAATACGAATCATTTACAGTTGAAATTTAATTGCAGTGGGTTTGAATATTCAAAAAATGTTACAAAAAAACAATTTAATGACATTTCTTCTCAAAAAAATCCAATTGTTCATATATTACAGAATACAGATATTAAAACAGATTTAAAATGCAATGAAACAGGTATTTTTAAATCATATTGATTACTTTATAAATCTAGAAAATTATTGACTTCTATAACACATAAACATAAAATAGATTTTAGATTCAAATTCATTTCGGAAAATGAAGCAAGTATTTCAAATAACAGTTTACAATCAATATCAATAAAGCCTATAATTAAATTAGGATTACAATCATCAGAAGATTTATTAGAAAATAACAACAAACTAAAGCGCAAGAAAAGTATAGTATTTTTAGAATCTATTCATAATATAAATAAATTAAAAAAAAAAAGTATTAAAACTATAAATCAGTTTTCTAAAAACTTAAATGAATATTTAGATTTGAGACAAAAAGATTCATTACTATATAAAGAACAAAGTATTTTTGATAAAAATAAATTAAATGACTCCCAAAAATCAACTCAAAGAACACTAAGTTTATCAAGAGTAAATCATACTGTAGTTAGAAAGTTTCCTGGACCAGCAGGGCTATTATTTAAAGATAATGATGAATGTGAACAGAGGGATAGAAATTATGTAGATGAAAGTAATAAGAATATTTCTACTATTGTTTGTTCTCAAAATACTAAAAATCTCTTTCATACAGGAGCTTGGCAATTAATGATGGATGATATGCCAAGTAATTGTGAATTATTCAATATTGCAAATATTAAAGACAAAGCTATAGAATTTAGCAAAATTTTAAAAAAAATTCCTTATTTAGCTGGTATTATAGAATACATCAATTATAAACCAAATAATCCACATATTATTATTAAAGATTTATCTGGTCAAATTGATGCTTGTATTCATCATACTATTTGTAAAATATATCCTAATATGCTTGGTACTAATACAGTTATACTATTAAAAGATGTTAGACTTATTGTAACTAGCAAAAAATATGTTTGTATAATTATTTCGATTAAAAATTTAGTGAGCATTTATTCTGATCACTTAAGATTAGTTCAAACAAATTTGTTAAAACAACTATTAAATAAAAATTATAATGCTAATTTAAATAAGTAATAATTAAATATATCTGATTAAATGTAATATAATGGTTTTTGCAAAAACATTAATTAACATCATAAACAAATAAAATATTAAACTAATAATTAACACAATAAAAATATATAAACAAACTTTCATAGAAACTCTAGTAAGTTATTAATATTTAAAAATTTGCATAATGTTTTTGAGTATATTTATCACAATTCAGATTGTAATGAAGATAATTTCACTTTCAGTGAATATTCCAAACTGAAATTATTAAAAAATTTATTAATTTCCATCAATATGAATAAATTTAAATAAATTAAATATAACATTGAAATAAAAGATTTATAATAATGCCGAAATCTTTGTAATAAACTTTATTTTGCATAAGAATTTGAAATCTAATGGAAGTAAATGTGAAAATTACACAATAATAAAGATTTATACAAGTAAATAAAAATAAAATTGAATAACTCCTGAAGTTGTCTTGAATATCTAACATTCTGCAAATTTTTATAAAAATAGAATTTTGCATTTGATTACTAATATTATTCATCTTCAACATTAATTGAATAAAATAACGAAAAGCGAATTAAATTATAAAGCATACTATTTCATTAAAGGAATTATAGAACTCAATATAGGAAATTAAATAAAAATTATTGATTATATACTTTAATTTTCAAAATAAATTTTATGAAAATGATAAAGTTTTATTTAAACTAAATCTAGGTACTATGTAACCAATTATAATAAATAATATTCAACTATTAATATTTGGTATTGACAATTATATAAAATAGAGGGTTTAAATGTGTCTTATAAAATCTAAAAAATTTTGTGTTTTAATTGTCTTAGGATAAAATTTAAAAGCTTAAAATTATAATTATGTATTTTCTTATAAATTTTATATTGTTAAATCTCACAATTTTTTTTTAATATAATAGCTTTTATATGAATATGATGAATATGAAATAAAGTTTATATAAATACAAAATATAATTATTATAAAAATATTCAACAAAACAATTTCCACTTTAATATTCCAATTTGATACTTAATTACTAAATTATTCTTAGTTGGTAATAATATATTATCAAATAATACTATTATTTATTTATTACATTGAACTTCAAAAAAAAAAGATATGAACCTGAAAGTGAATTTCTTTTTTTTGCAATTAATTTTCAATAAAATTAAAAAATTTTAGTTTTGAAAAAAAATTGAATATTTATAAAAAAAGTAATATTATTCATAACATTTCGTTTATATAAATTAGTTGTAATCAATGTTTGTAATATTCAATTTATTGATTATAATAGGAATGTAATATAATGTTTTTGAGTCTGTTTGTGTTAATTTAACATAGATTTAGTAAATATAACTGAAGTTATTGAGATTGATGAATTATTAATTTTCTTTTTTTTCATTAAAATAATAAATTATGACCAAATATCTATAGATAGATGAAGATCAAAATTAATAAAATTGCTTTAAAATTTCTAAAATTGATTATATAGTATATATTATACTTGTATGCACATTACATTTATTATATATGACTAATGGGGAGATACTGTTGTGTATTTGTTTAAGAGTTTCCTGAGTTTTGTGTATTTTACAGACACTTTTACAGAAAAACAATCCGATATATTATTAACTCCGTAATATAACAATCAAGATTTATACATGAAATAATACTTTTACAGAAAAAAGAAACTGTAGACGTAACAGCTGTAGAAGAGGAACGCTTTGTAATCTTAATTAAATAATATAGAATTTCATAAGCTGGGACAATTAAGCTGACCTACATCTGTATATCTTTCACGCAGCTTGTAATGCCTAATACAATTATGAACAAAATTAAACATGTTCTTCTTCGAGAATCTTTGTGAGGCATGATCTATCAGCTCAGATCGTAAACATTTTAGGAAATGATAAATTGATATAATATATTGCAATACATTATAATTGTCTATTATGGATTTATAAAAAATATTTTAAATATTATCCTAAATTATATAAATTTTGAAACTGATGTATACACGATACATTTAAATTTAAGAAAACAATGTTTGTTCATATAAATTCTACATGTGCTTGAAAAATTAAATAAAAAATTGTTTATTTATTTTTCTAACGCGTATCGAAGAATTGTCATATCATTCAATTTTCAATTATTAAATAAGATTTCAATAATATATAATGTAATCTGTTAAATATTTATTCAAATTCTATATATTAAAGGGTGCTATAGGCTATTTTCAAATTTAATATCAAATCAATCGATTACAAGATTTGTATTTAGATACTGAAGAATTAGATAAATTTTTGGTACTTAATATTTAACAAAGACGAGTTAGCATTTAGCTTATTAAAAGTACATCCATGCATTCTAAAAATTATGAAGAAAGTGTACATTGGAATATGGAATTTAAATTTAGTAATGTTTAGTAAAGTTTAATAATGAGAAATAATCAACTCAACTCGTATAATCAGCAAAAAGAATAATACAAATATGCAATTTTTATGATACTTTCTAAAGTATTTAAATTTATATTCTATAATTTTCACAATAAAATAATGTAACTATTTTAAACCAAAATGAAATTTAAAACATGCATACTTTAAACAAGTTATTAAGACTGATTACTGATACGATAAATTTTCTGGTAGCTGCACAATGAAAATTTAATGTTGAAGAACTGTCTATATGTACTCTTTTAAAAACAGAGCAATAATAAATGCTGTTAATTAATATAAAATAATGTATTATATAACAATAAGAAATATACATTTTTTAAATTTTATATTAAAGATTTATATTTATTTATTTAAACGATTTGTGTATTAAATAGTGTATTTGTGCTTCGTTTTAATCTACTTATAATTTTAGTTGGTTGTATATTATCAAAACATTCAATAATCTGTTAATTTAAATAGATATTCACTTGATTAAAAAAATTCTTGAAATGCCTTGAGTTAATAAAAATAAAAAATTGAATCATTATTATATTTTTTTCGTATGTTGCAGTTTAGTGAATATTAAAGTTGCTAAACTTCAATGAAGCTAACATAAATATTACCTTAAGATTTTAATAACGATATCAAGTTCATGAGAATGGGGTATAGACATGACTATAAATAGGTACCACTATCTTAAAAACAAGTAATTTAGTTTTTTCATTCTATTCTGACAAATAAATTGATTCTGGCATTTTATAATAATCTGACATCGAAAATTTATATTAGATTTGGTAGTAATTCTTATGTTTTTAAATTAGATTCTGCATACATGGTACAATTTTTAATAACCTATTTATTTGAAACTGAAAGGTCGGTTCAATAATCTAGTCCTAGAATTTTAATTTCAAATAACTACAATACACAATAATATTACTTGTATCATATTATTCATAGAAAATTTTAAAGATTATGTATTTAGTGTTTAATCTAAATTCAAGATTCTTTTATAAAAATACTTTTCGCAAAAATATAAAAACCATGAAATATAATTTCATATTAATAATTATGAAGAAAAGTATTCGGCAGTCTGTTTTTTTAATAATATTAAATATATGCATATATAATTAATTTTAATTGCTTTAAAAGAAAAATTAAATTTCTGAACTAGAAGGGTTCTAATTAAAAAAAAATATGATAAAATTATATATGCACTATTAAATGAAAATGATAATAGAACTTTATACTTTTAAAATCATTTCATTTAGAAACCTTAGAGATTTTTATACAAACTAAGAAATACAATTTAATAATATAGTAATCAAGAATTTCAAATAATGGATTTAGTTTATTTATAGTAAATTATCATAATTTCTTTATTTTTATAATTGATGGTATAATTTTTTTATTATAACTTGTATTAATATTAAGATAAATATATCAGTTGAAATGTCCACAGTGTAATATAATAAATGTTACTACATTTTAAATAGGTTGCAAGACTTAAATTAATTTCTGTAGTATTCAATTGATATTCTTATAAGTTTGTACATATTAATTAAGAAAACAAATTGATTCTACTTTATAAAAAATTATGTTATATGAAGTATGTGATTCGCAAGACTTCGCATAAAATAAAACATACAATTACATAAAATGAATATTGAATTAAAATCTTATATCATAAATGAATATAATAAAAAAACTCTTTGTAACAAGTTTTAGTTCTTGCTCTAATTTAAAATATTTTTTTTTTTTTAATTGGATATAATTAATAAAAATCTGTAAGTGAAAACTATTTTGTACATCAAATATTTTATTAATTTCTACAGCTAGTATTTTAAACAAAGAAAAAGTAAAAAAAATTAATCCATTTCTTACTTATATAAAATAAATTTATTAATAATGTTGATATGTTTTAAAATCACAAAAATATTAAATTTATGTTAGGTTATTATGTATATAAATACAATTTTTTTATAAAAGTTATTTTATGTATAAACTTACTTACATGTTTATGCAATCAAGTATTATTAACTTTATCATATTTAGAATTTATATTACAATTAATATCAATAACTTTTTAGGTACATAAGAAAATACACAATTTATACAAATATTGAAACATGGAGATCAGCCCGTAGACCATTAGAAAATTAACAATTGTTCTTGTCATCATTAGTATTATGTTAAAGCAAACTAGTATTATGCAAAAACAAATTTGATAGTACTAATTTGAAAACTCCGACATCTTTAATTATAAATGACGTGGATGCATCATGTTTATCAAACATTTGATACAATTATATTCGATATGTGATACTATTTTGGTAATGCAGCATCTTCATCTGTGCTTGTGATAATATAGTTTAGTTATTTAAAACAATATAAAAAAATAACGTAATTGTCAATTACGAATAATTACACAAGAAAAATCGTCTCAAATTTATAAATCATTTTGAGATTAAAATTAGAATTATCAATTTATAATTATCGTCCTTTCTTAATCAGTCTCTAAACTAAGTTATTTACATGCTGTCTGAGATCAGACTAAAAGCGCTTTCCTGAGATGGTGAAGGGAGGCTTGCTGGCAAGTGGAATGGACAATGCAATAATTCAATACTGCCTTTGTATGAGTTGGTTTTCCTTTTACTGAATATAATGATATAAATAATCAGTGGTCTATTGAGGTGAGATTGAATGAATGATACAATGAATAGGTGTGAGTTTCTTCAAGTAGTATGAGTGATAATAATCTTGTAAGTGT